TTTAATTAAATTTCAAAAGCTATCTTTTCTCTTAGTTTTCGTCCGTGGACTTTCATTTTTATCAAGTACAAACTTCAACATCTATGTAATGAACATATATAGCACGAAAAACGTTACGGTTTTTGTTTATGTTTTCTTCTGCATGCATGTGCAAAACATTCTAGAATTATAATGATTTATCGATTGTATAAGAATAGTGTAAATATTAGCTGCACCAAACGTGTATTCTTATGCAGTTGCGAGCGCCGTAAAACACTTACAAAACAAAAAACAAAAAAACAAACAAACGTGTATTTATTTACAGGTACATGCATTACTGTTCAGAGAATAGAAATATCGCGATTACAATTTCTGAGTCACACCCTTAGCATCATGCAAATCAAATCCCCCCCCCCCCCCCAAATCCTCTCTCTCTCTCTTTTTCTCACTCACTGTCTGTCGCTTTCCGCCACTCTTTTAGTACAGGAGGTATCTGTTTCAACAAGACGGTATCTACTGAACATCTGTCCTACCACTCATTCACTATTCACGTCTGTCTATCTTTCTGACAGACAGACAGACAGACAGACAGGCAGACAGACAGACAGACTGACAGACAGACAGACAGACAGACAGACAGACAGACAGACAGACAGGCAGACAGGCAGACAGACGAAGAACTGTTACGCCAAACAAATTGAAAATAAATATAATTTAAGAAAGAACACAGAAGGCGAAAACATGCTCAAATCTGTGACTTTCAACATTCACATCGACAATAAAATCCGCTTCGTCGTTAGTAATATTATAATTAATTACCCCCCCCAACAAAAAAGAACCAAACGGAAAAACCCCCACGTTTTCCCTCCGAAGTCCGAAGTTCTGTTTCAGTCGAGATCAAAATAATACTTGTACCACTTTAAATCAGTCGTCAGTCATTTGAATAATTACATCATCAACAGTGTATCAGCACTCCAACACTAATCTACAACAAGACCCAAGTGAAGAATTAGGAAGACTGATGAAAAGCTGTTCTTTTTCGCATCACAGTTTAGAATTTAGACGCGTAGGCCTAGGTCCCTCACTTTCATGTTTACGGTATCATCGTGTTACTGTCGCGGAGACCACGCCCCCTTCATTGCACGCATTCCTCTGTTCGTTCACCCATCGCAGGCTCGACTGTCCTCGTTTCAGATAGCTTGTTTCCTTCGCTTGCGAGCACAGGTATAAGCCGTGTGTCCAGTCCTGTGCTGATTCAGTTTCAGCGATGTGCTCTGTTCGTTAGGCTGGTGGTGTGTTGGGAGTTTTTACCGTGAAATGATTCAGTAAAGGAGCGAAGAGGATTATTTATCGTAGAATTCAAGTTTGTGATTGTTACACATTGCTTAACCAATCAAATATTTGTGTATACCTCATTTCCGTCAAGCAGTCAACATGGCAGAGAACAGTAAGTCCGGAATACTCGCCATAGCACAGAAACGACTTTCACGGACTAAAGCTAAGGTAAGTTTATTATGTCTTTTTCTGTGAATCTTTCCAGTTGCTCTGTAACTTTTGATATCTGCAACAGGGATGATCTGTATGTAGTGAGTCTAAGAGTATCTAGTAGGCCTAGTGTAGCGCCAAGACATAGATTCTAGATCTACAAATTCTAGGCTACATCTCATTCTTACAGTACACTCTGGACTCTAGGCCTAGGCCTAGGCTCTAAAATAGGCCGACACTGTTGCGCTTCGCGTCCGTAACTTGATCTACAACACCGCATGTCAATACCACCGTTCACAAAGTGTCACATTTTATTAGTTCATTAAGCTGTAAGTTACTGTAAGTATTAGATCTAGATCTAGATCTAGACCTACATCTAGATATAGATCTAGAATCTAGATCTAGAATCTAGACGTCTTGTTTGAGTTTGAAGTTGAAGCAATGAACCAATCATGACCAATGAATGTGTTTTATGTCATGATGGGCCATGCAGTCTTTTTCTTTAAAAAAAAATCTAATCTAGATTTAGATCTATATATCTAGATCTAGATCTAGATCTAGATATATAGATTTAGAATCTAGAATCTAGATTTAAATCTAGATATCTAGAATCTATATCTAGAATCTAGATTAGATCTATATCTAGATTCTAGATCTAGATCTAGATATCTAGATCTAGATCTAGATCTAGATATCTAATCTAGATCTATCTATTGGCCATCTATCTAATCTTGATCTCTCGATCTAGATAGATTTCTAGACTATTGCATGCATGGCATTTTAAATAGATCTATCTAGATTCTAGGCCTGATATAATCTTTAGGAAAAAAAATAGATCTAATCTAGATCTAGAGATCTAGATCTAGATTCTCGATCTAGATCTAGATCTAGATCTAGATCTTTTTTTTTCTTTTTACCTTGTTAAATTAGGTAAATAGATGTCTATGATGTAGATTCTATGGGGGCCTAGAAGGTGATCTTGTAGTTCTGTTTGTTTAAGTCCACGATCCATTTGTTTACATCCTGAGAAGAAATCCAGAAGTCTTGATGACCAAATAGGTAACACAAAGAACAGGGATGCTACCTTACTGCAAACATCAAATTATGGTAAAATTCAGGGGGGGCATGCCCCCTTGAACCCCCCCC